GACACACCCAGTGGGTGACTAATATAAATTCCGGAAAAGAAAAGTTTTTGGTAGCATATCCAACAGAACAAACAGCGGTCGACTGACCTGGACATTGCTTTGGAGGGCAGAGCTGGCGTCATAAGCTGCCTGGCTCACGTCCCAGATGGTCTTCAGCTGCTCCATCATGAGTCCCGCCTGGCGTATTGCCTCCTTCGCTGCGCCAGCTTGGTCCTCTGGGACGTGGTGCGTCGTGAAGAGGGAGGGCTGCTGAGCACTCGTCAGTGGATTTGCGAAGGACACCGTGTGTCGAGTGGTGTTCTCTCCTTCCACAGTCAGAATCTCAGGCGCCGTCACATCCTGAGGTACCTTACTGGCGGACGTTTTCCGACTCCTCCTGCGTGTCAGTGGTTCTTCATCCTCGTCGTCGTCGGGGAGATTGATAACAGTGTTGGGTGGAGCTGCGGAGAAGGATCAGGATCAGAGATCGCGAGTCAGTCGACTAAGAACAGTGTTAAGAATACAGTACCTGGGTTCGAAGTTGCTGCATCCTCCATCTCGTGGTCATCAGCCCGGGCCGAGGTTTCAGAAGTAGCAGCACTGCAACTCCAAAGGATCAGTCGACTAACTTCAGCGTCGACCAGAGATAAAGTTCACACAGAATAAGAAAATATGAGCAGCACGGTTACCCTGATATGGTAGGGATGGACACCTTCATCTTCGGCAAGAGCTTGATCGGCTTCGACGGGGCCGCCCTGGGCTGCTTCGGCGCCTTTTCAGTCGGCGCTGGAGAGGTGGTCCTAGGGCGCTTGGTCGACTGCGTCGCAACCCCCTTGCCACGTTCAGTCGAAGGGTCGTGGACGAGCTTCGACCGCCTTTCCGAGCGCGGTGGCACGACCTCCTCCTCCTCCTCTTCCTCGTCCTCGGCGTCGTCTTCATCACCGACATCATCATCATCGTCGTCATCATCCTCTGCGACATCCGAGTCCCATTCCTCCTCTTCCTGGCTCTCGCCTCCGCTCGCCTCGCCCTCCTCAGTCGAAGCTTGTGCCCCATTGGGCATCGAGTACAGCTGGGTGAGGGCCTAGCAGATATCAAGACAATGATCAGTCTACCAGTCGGCAGAGTAAACAGAGATGAATGCGACAAGAATGCAGTGGAGAGCAGGGCAAGTGTACCTTATCTGGATCGCTGTTGTGGTCGAGTGGAGGAATCCTTCTGGCTCCGCGTGGGTTGTCCTTGTTTCCGGTGACGGCTGCCATCCATCTTTCCAGAGTGACATTGTCGACTGCTTCTGGATGGACTCTAGTCTCGTCTTCGGTCCCACAGTACAACCACATGCAGTGGCTCCGGAACTGGAGAGGCTAGATGCGACGCCTGAGGAAAACCTCCAAGAGGTCCATGCCTGTCACTCCCTCCCGAACCAACTGCACCACGCGCTCCATCAACATCTTCACGTCGGCTCTCTCCTCCGGAATCAGCTTCAGAGGGGAAGGCTTGCTCACTCGGTCCATGGTGAACGGAGGGAGTCCACTCGACTGCCCTGGCGTCGACTGGACCTGGCAGTAGAACCAAGTCGACTGCCAGCCTCTAACGGACTCGGGAAAGGTCATGGGCGGGAAGGTGCTCTTATTCCTCACCTGAATCCCCAGGCCCCCGCACATTTGGACGACTCAGGTTCTCTCATCACCGGGGCTCGCCTTCTTCACGGTCTGAGATCGACACGTGAATATATGTTTGAACAAACCCTAGTGCGGTCGACAGCCCAAGAAACCCTCACACATGGACACGAACGCAGCAAGATAGGCAATGGAGTTTGGGGTAAAGTGGTGGAGCTGCGCTCCGAAGAAGTTCAAAAAGCCACGAAAGAAAACACTCGGCGGCAAGGAAAACCCCCGATCAACATGAGTGGCCAAAAGCACACACTCACCCTCTTCTGGCTGGGGCTGCCACTCCTTCCCCGGAAGCCTCGCAGCTCCGTGGGGGATCAAGCCCTCGTTGGCCATGTCGAGGAGGTCATTCTCCGTGATGGTCGACTGGATCCAGTCTCCTTGGACCCAGCCCTTCGGCAGGCGGGATCTGGACGAGGACCCTCCGCGGCTGGTGGATCTCCCCTTCGCCTTCTCCGATGTCGATGCCTTCTTTGCACGCTCCAGCGCCGCCGTCTTCTCCTTGGCCATGGTCGCCGGCGAGATGCGCGAAGGGAAGTGGTGCGGGGGCGAGAGCGAGCGCGCTGAGCAGGGAGGAAGGAAGCAGAGAGAAAGGGGGAATGCTAAGGCGCAGCACAGAAATCCCCGCCGGGCACATTTATAAGGTCACTTCCGAGTGGATGACAGGTGGGCCCGGTCGATCTAATCATATCTGGAACAGTTATGCAGACGGGATACATGGCGAAAAAGGTGGCGCGGAGATCGAGGCGTCCATGCCCCGTCCCATCCGAACGCCGCGGTCCGCCCCGCTTCGCGCGCGCCCCCAAATTTCGCATCCCGCAGTATCCGCGAGCAACAAATCAGTCTGTCAGGCGCGGTGTTTCCGGCGATCCGTCGCTCGGAGATCGTCGTAGCTTGAAAGATCACTCGACGCAAAAGCAGAATGGATCAAGTCGACTGAAGTCAAGTTGTTTCCTGTCGACGAAGAGATTCTTTAGTACAGAACAGCGCACAACCAGAGCGCAAAGGTTAATCGGAAACGACATCAACTCTTTCTTCACTCGAAGCCTCAATCCATTCGGGGGCTAATGATGGGGTTATGTACCTAGGGTAGGGTCATGGACCTGATCCAAGTAACTTACCCCAGGACATCCTTAGAAGAGGTCGCCTTCCAGTCGACCAACGAGGATTCACTCGACTGGCCTGAAGGACTCGACCACGAAGACTCACTCGACCACCAGGAGGTCAAGAGGCACTCTGCACTGCAACGGCCTGTAATCAAGTAGTCTTTATGATAGTAAAGGCACTTTATGTGGGGCGTTACCAGTAACGCCCCAGACTTAACTCACCTTAAACCCTCTCCTACGTGGGCTGGCTGGGGTCCTGGCGCACTCTATATAAGCCACCCCCCTCCACAGGCAGAGGGGTTCGGCACCTTGTAATTCATACATTCATAATCCACTCGACCGCCTCCGGGCTCCGAGACGTAGGGCTGTTACTTCTTCCGAGAAGGGCCTGAACTCGTACATCCTTTGTGCTTACAACCTCTCCATAGCTAGGACCTTGCCTCTCCATACCTACCCCCCACTCTACTGTCAGGCTTAGAACCACGACACCCCCCTCCCCCTCTAGTCCGAATTGGACAAGGAGGGGGAGGGGGGCGGCGCCCCCCTTTCCTTCTTTCTTCTCTCCCTTCATTCTCATCTCCTACTTCAACTAGGAAAATAGGGCGCGCGCCCTCCTCTTTGGCCGCCCGCCTCCCCCTAGCTCCTTTATATACAGGGGCAAGGGGCACCCCAGAGACACAACAATTGATCTGTTGATCTCTTAGCCATGTGCGGTGCTCCCCTCCACCATAATCCACCTCGGTTATATCGTAGCGGTGCTTAGGTGAAGCCCTGCGACGGTAGCTTCATCAACATCGTCACCACGCCGTCGTGCTGACGAAACTCTTCCCCGAGCTCTACTGGATCGTGAGTTCGCGGGACATCACCGAGCTGAACGTGTGCTGAACGCGAAGGTGTCGTACGTTCGGTACTGAGGATCGGTCGATCGTGAAGACGTACGACTACATCAACCGAGTTGTCATAACGCTTCCGCTTAACGGTCTACGAGGGTACGTGGACGACACATTCCCCTCTCGTTGCTATGCATCACCATGATCTTGCGTGCGCGTAGGAATTTTTTTAAAATTACTACGTTCCCCAACACGGTCTTCACGCCCGCCACGCCCATCGTGGTCGCCATCTCTGTCGCGGTAGTCGTGGTCTCGACGTCGCTCACGCGCCACCTGGCGGTCATGAGTGCGGGCCTCACCGTCCACGACGCTGTAGCGCTAGCTGAAAAGGGGGGGTGCGAGCGAGGGCGTCGAGGGATGTGGCTATTCGAGTTTGGGAGGTAATCCTCGATCAGGTCCAGGTGGACCAGGATGTGCCGACACAGCCCTTGGCGACCGACGGCAAGGACAGGGCGGTGCCCGCCGACGGCTGGTTGCAGGTGAATGTGATGGTCTGCACCTTGAGAATTTTGCTAGGGTCCGCCGACCAAGCCCACATATTGAGCGTGGCGGCATCTTCGCATTGCACGGAGGCGATGTCGAAGAAGTGCACAAAGGTGTTCGGCCCGAGCACCTGCGCCGCGACAGCATCATTCCAATCATTGAGCGGGACGTTTTCGAGGCAAATGTCAACATAGAAAAAGAATATAATTAGGGTCAAAATGAAGAATGCCCTCAATCGGGGATGTAGCTCAGATGATAGAGCGCTCGCTTAGCATGCGAGAGGCACGGGGATCGATACCCCGCATCTCCAAAAAAAAAAGGTTTTGCTTTTGTGTGAAAAATCCTTGTCAACTTTCGGCCGCTGACTCGCTGCTTGGCCAGGCTTTGGTTTCGTGGCTGACTGGCTGCGTGGCTTGAAACCTCACGCCTCATCACCTATCTCGCCTCGCGTGATCAAGTCGACACGGTATCTTTCCCTTTTGCGCCGCTCCGCCCATCCGTCCTATTCGTGTCTATCTATCTGCCGCTGGCGCCGTAGTGTCACGGCCCCGCCCGCTGCATCCACACACACAGCCTTTCTTCCCCCTCCTTGAAGGCCACCGATCGGGATCCGCCTCCGCCCCCACCACCGCATCGCATCCCCCTCCCATTCCCGTTCCCGGGTGAATGAATAAAAACCCACGCGACACGCAACGACTTCCTGAATGCCCAACCCAACGGCGTGAGTGCGCAGCATACGCAGATCCCATTTATTAACACAACTCACACCACCCAGACAGAGAGCGAGAGACAGGCAGACAGGGGAGAGCAGAGCAGCGGCAGCGCCCACACTCGCACCCGCACTCCACCCGCCGCCCGGCGCCGGCCGCGCCATGGCGTCGGGGGTGTCCACGAGCATGGTGCTCACGCTGCTCGGCTTCTGCGTCAGCGTCCTCTTCATAGTCTTCGTCTGCTCCAGGCTCGTCTGCGCGCTCGTGCGCCGCCGCCGCCGCCGCTCCCGCGCCTCGCCGCTCCCGCCGGGCTTTCCGCCCCTCGCCGCCAACTACTTCTTCGCCGTCCAGGTCGACCGCCTGGGAGCCCAGGCCGCGGCTGGGCCCGGCGCCGGGGGGCTCGACCTGGCCGCCGTCGCCTCCTTCCCCACCCGCGCCTTCGCAGCTGCCGCATCCTCCGACTCCGACTCCTCAGACGCGGCCCCGCAGTAAGTGCTCCTCCTCGATCTGCCTTTGCTCCAACCATCGCCGATTCCAATCCGTCCCCGTGCCGTGCCGTGCGCTTCCTTGCGTTGCCTGCCGCCTAAACTTGGAATCTACTCCACTGTGCAGCGCCATTTAGTCAGTACCTCCCTCGTATTCATCGGAATTGCAGTTCGGTCGCGCTGGTTTTAGTTGATCCTCTTAGTTAGGCCACTGATTTGGGGCAACCAACGCTGCAATTAGGAGCTTCTAGCTGTGAGTGCGCACTCAGTGAGTGGCAAAAGAGGGATCTCACTATCATTATTGTAAGGTGAAGATTAGTGATTCTTTTGGATACTAGTGCTGTGAGCACCGAATCCCCCACATACATGTGAAATGCTTTTTGGTTAGAGTTCTAATATTAGTACGGAGGTGGGACTGGGATATGCCATGGTTCAGTTCCAGCTTCCTGAATAATGTAAGCTGGTAACACATTATTAGCTAATATGAATTCTAGTTTTATTCATACGAAAATTCATGCTTTTGGTGTTTGTTAACGACTTTACCATAGACTATACTATATGGATAAAGAATTGTTGAGCTTTGCTCGGCGTTAGTTGGTACAAGCATACTGCCTAAAGGGGTAATTATCCTAGGTATAAACTACCCACCATTGTCCTCAGTAATCTTTGGCAAGTATTTGCATTCTTCTGACCACTTCTCAGCATGAGTATTTGATCATGCCAGTCTATAGCCATAGAGAAATACTTACTACTGAAAAATCTTCAAGCAGCAATGCCACATGGGGAGATGGATCCTCTCTTGTAGTAATGAAGCTGTCCTTGAGAGTGTTTTTAGATTCTTTTAGTACCATAGGTAATGTCCTTGAGCATGTTGGTGCCTAAGATAAATTATGTGACCTTTTTAGTACAAGAGTCCTGATTATGGTGTTTAACGGGGATTGACTATTGAACCATGAGGTCCCTGAGATTTCATTTTCATTGGACAGATAAGACCACTCGATTAATAACATATAATTGGAATACAAATATCTTTGAGCTGCCCCTGAATAAAATCTTACTGAGGAATAATGAGGCATCGCAATTAAGTATATTGAGTACTCACATGTGCTTAATTAGAGGGAGGCTAGGACTGGCTTGGTGGTCTGATGTCCGATCTAATCCTTCGCTGTTAGTTGAACAGGTCTTTCGCTGGATGCACATCATTTACTACTCCCTCCGTCCCACAATATAAGATGTTACTACAACCAGTATATGAGTACAATTGTTGTAATAGCATCTTATAGGGTGTGTCTAGGGCACATCTAGATGTGCTCTAGTTATTGCACATCTAAGTGAGTGAATCAAGCATAAAGAGAAAAGAAAAAAGAAAAGGGAAATATCCACACGAATCTCGACGTAAGATCAATGACATAGGACTTACATGTGCAATACTTATGGCACATCTAGATGTGCTTTAGCAAAACTGCATCTTATATTATGGGATGAAGAAGTAATCTTTACTTGCACCAATTGTGTGATTCACTTTTGTGTTTAGTATCTAGTAACAAACACTACGTTCCATCCAGTTTGCCAGCTAGCCTTTGGCAGCACAGTTTAACCGTAGTAATCTAAGCTCAGTATTCCAATGCATGGGCAATGAACACTTCAGTTTCTAAAAACCGCAGTTTTTCTCGGTTTGGTTTAGAAAAAAAGAGGAAGAGACCTCTTTTTCTAGCCCTACCAAAAGAAAAACATGGTAGTGGAGATACCACGGTTTACAAATCTGTTGTATTTGTTGATACCAAACACATTGACGTATTTAGAACCAAGGTTTCTAAGAAAACACATTATTCCCCTAAAACTCCAAAAAATAAACATAGCAACCGAAATTGCTTGCCTATTTTTATATACGCATCACTAATTGACCATTTTCAGATTTGTCCTTCAAACTTCATTGCTTTGCTGGGCTAGTATCTTCTTATTTATATAAAGGCTCACTAATTGACAGTGTGTGCATCTGTTAGTCTGTTCTATTCTGTATTTCCATTCTCTTGTGCTAGGTTTTTTTTAGCAATTCTTCCTGATTACACCAAAATCTAGACTCTGAACTGTTTGTGTCTTTGCTCGCAGGTGTGTTGTCTGTCTTGCAGAATACGAGGACAAAGATGTGCTCCGCACTCTTCCTTACTGTGGCCACAATTTCCATATGGTGTGCATAGATGCTTGGCTAAAGCAGCATTCAACGTGCCCAGTCTGTAGAATTTCACTGTCTGACTATCCCGATAGCAAGCAAATCCCGCCTCCCTTACCAAGTGCAGTGGTGATACCTATACCTATACCTATACCTCCTTATTCCCCTGAAGCATCAATATCGGATCCGTGCCATTACCTGTTTGTCGGCACGGGGCATTCGCCAAGGGCATCAGAGGTTCTTCAAAACGAACGCGACCAGGCGAATCGGACAGTACTCGGCCCATCCTTGGATGGGCCAGACAACTTGACGCTGTCTGAGGTTACCTCTCCCGGCGAAATAACAACCAAACAGTAAAACAGCACATGGAGAGTCCTCGTGTACTCAGCAGGTCGTGATCTCCCCAGCTAAAGCTCCGGCAAGTAGCTGCTTGGAGTTTCTTTTGTGAACAACCTGTAAACTTGGAAACATCTGCCCATGTGGACGGACGGATGTCTGTTATAGGTTAGATTCTCGCGGGTCCGATGTAAATATGAGAAATCTTTTGGGTTTCTTGTCGAAAAGCCACATTTGCTCGATAATTTGACTGAAAACAGTCCATTGTATCCATCTATGGTAGGCCACGGAGAATTGTTGTTGTAGGAGCATCATCATCAGTGCATGTACCAATTCAAAACAGCTACAAACATATTGATTGAGATGACTGTTTTAATGCAGATGAGCTGAACAAACAGGATGGGTAGGGCATCTTGATTTGTTGGTTGAGACGACTGTTTTAATGCAGATCATGAACTGATGAGCTAACAAACATTTTGAAGATGTCGCGCTCATGCATCCATAAGAGAATTCTTCATGAACAGCATCATTATTAGCTGGTGTCCTGTTTGCATCCGCTTGGAAGTAGCAGCGTGCTGCTGCTTCAGTGTATGGTTTCTCCAACTCACCATGGTTAAGTGACTTAACCCAATTGCCATTGGCTGGTTTGAGGTTAACTGACCTACACTGCAGGGAACTGGAACCAGTACAGTGCTGCATAATTCTGATCCAGAATTCGGGATCACAACATCTAACACCACAATGATGATGATGATGATGCTTGTTCTGAAAGCAGACCCCTGTGGGCCCCACACACCGGTGTTGGTCCGGTGGGGGCCACTCATGGCTCGTGGTAGATCTAACAGTGTGCTCCAGACCAACAGCATAGCAGGGACATGACATTGTCTACAACTACAAGTGTACTGCCAAGAAGAAGAAAAAATAAATAAGCCTATTTACAGAGGGTGATTCCTGTCGGTGGTGGTGGCCCTCACCGGAGTAGAGCTCCCATCCCGTCCATAAAACGGCCAGCGCCGTGGCGTGATGATACGCATCCGCTGCAAAGTGCAAAGCCGCCAGAGGAGAAAGCTTTAGCTTAGCTTTGCACCTGTGACTTGTTGAGCCATGGAGTTCAAGCACCTGTGCCTGGTAAGGTTCAAGGAGGGCGTGGTGGTGGAGGACATCATTGAGGAGCTCACCAAGCTCGCCGCGGAGCTCGACACCGTCAAATTCTTCGGGTGGTATGCATTTGCATCTCATTTGTTCCGAAAAGGGATTCCAACCTCACTGCACATTGCACTTCAACCTGTCCGCTACATCTTTTCTTTTTTTCAAGAACCCTAAAATCTTGCACCGATGACCAAAACCATCTCTAAGTCTAATTCGGCGACACCAGATCAAGATTAGGCATCGCCACTCATAAGTGCTTCTATCCATCTAGAGTTTATCTGACAAGACAAGAGATAGGAGTATATCATTGATTGAGTGTTGCTTGTGTTGGGTTGCAGGGGAAAGGACGTGCTGAACCAGGAGGCGCTGACGCAGGGCTTCACCCACGTCTTCTCCATGAGCTTCGCCAGCGCCGAGGACCTGGCGGCGTACATGGGCCACGAGAAGCACTCTGCATTCGCCGCCACCTTCATGGCCGTGCTCGACAAGGTGGTTGTCCTGGACTTCCCCTTCGTCGTCGCCAAGCCGGCGCCATCGCCTGAGGCCGCCTGAATGATACACCCCCACCACCCCCTGTAGCAGTATCTGTCTGTTACTACTGAGCAAGTATAAGCATCTACCATCGCCAGCCACTGTAAGGTGCCTACCATTTCAGCTGTGATGTACCTAAAGCCTCCTATTTTTGCTTGCTTGTCCTGCTGCTACGGCGTTCACCGGCCTTCTGGCCTGTAAAGCCACTGTAAGGTGTAACTCTATTCCGTGCATTCCGTCGCTCAAAAGTTGCTTGGTTATCACCCTTGAATAAACATCGCTGGTTTTGCTTTACTTTTCGGTCTTCATGATGAATTGATGGATATCTGATCTGTAATGGCTCACTCGTGCTGGCCACTATTGCGTAAACACTTAAAACTCTGGCAATGTCTTTTCGCGAATGCGCAAAGCTTCGGTATCATTCATTGATAGGTAGAAAGAAATACAAGATCGGGTATTGCACTTAGGGACGGACACGACAACACTGCGTTAAGTGCAACACCTGAGCGGCGAGAAAAATGGGGCACTGTTGTGTAGCCTGTTGGCTCCGGCACGAGCCCAGAGTTGCGCCTCATGCCGGATGGTCTCGGTGAGGTAGCCTGTCGTAAGATGTGACTATGTAAGTTTCATTAATGAAACACAAGGCATTGATAAACAGTAAGATGTCAGAATTTTCATGTGAAGGCATTTACATTGGGCGTTCAATTGATGCCCCTGGGGTGGTTGAGCTGTGCTATCTTTCTTGCCTTCTCCTTCATTATTTACCAGGAATGAGGGTCGGCCCGATGCACACAACCATCTCATCTTGTATTCTTGTTAATAGTCAAAAACGTCAGGAGTTACTGCAGACTTTGTCAAATGGTAATACCGTCGAATCGAAAGAAGGCTGAAAGTGATCAAGGGTCGATGAAATGCTAGTTTTCCCTTGGGGAAAAGATTGACGATGAAACGGGGTTTACTTTCAAAAAATGAAAACATGTGTAGCAGATAAGGACTTGACTCTAATAGCCCGCCCCCGCCCCCGCCCCCGCGCCGCCCCTAGCGGGCGCCACGGGGGGTGATTCCCCTCCTGCCGGCGTAACCTCCCTCTCTCCATCTTCTCCTCGCCGCCGCACGAAGCTGGCGCCGGGCCATGCCTGGGGCGCGGTCTGGGACTGCGGCGGCGGGGCCGGCTCCGCTCCGATCTGCACCGGAGGGTCTTGGATCCGGGCGGCGGCCCCTGGCGATGCTCCCTGTCTCCTGCGGCGGGCAGTGGGGTGGGCATGGTGCCGGCGATCTGGTCGGGTGGCCGACGGATCTCCGGTGGCCTGGGGCCTCGCGTGGCTGCCTTGGCGGCTGGCGGCGCCAGATCTGGCTGCTGGCCTTCTTCCCTGCTCGGTGCACTTCTCCTGCGAAGGTCCCTGGGTGTGCTGGATGGCCTGCCTATGGGATGCGGGCGATTTTGGTGGTCGGGATCCAGATTGGGGGAAACCCGGGTCGGCTCCGGCTGGCCGCGACGACGACGACGCCCGCGGGCGCCGATTTCTTCATGGAGACGTCTGTCAAGATCTGCCCTTCCACTCCCCACCACCTAGCTTCTTGGGTGAAAACCTAACTCCGGTGGGCGGCGGCGGCGTCTTTGGCGCCGCTACCTTCTTGAAGGCGCCGCCTTGAGGGCTGGGTGGTGGCGGGCGCTATTTGGGGTCGGTGACAGCTGCCGACGGCGTGCCCTTCTTCGCCCAAGCCTCCGCTTTTCCTCCGACGCGTTCCGGTTCTCCTGGGGGCGTCGTTTGGAGTAAGTGTTGGCTGGGGCGATGGTGGAGCGGTGCTCCATCTCACACATTGATGGCGGCGGATGTCGGCAGCATGGCGCTGTGGAGGCTCGACGTCCGATGCACGGAGATGGACTCGCGTAGGAGGAGGTTGCTGTTTGGCGTCATGGTGGCGTCAATGGCGGAGTGGCCAGACATGGTAGAAGCCTCAATTTGATCTGAAGACGGACCTGTGGAAGATGGCGGCGACGACACACGAGTGCGTCTGACCGGATTATGCCCCAGACCCGGTATGTGGCTCGGCTGGGGCTTCCGAATGTGTTTCGCCTTCCGGCTTTTGATGTTAGGTTTACGTAAGTGGTCTGGGTAGTGGCCCGGCTAGCACCCCTTTATCATATTGGATAGGAGTAGTGGCATATGTTGCCAAGATGGTGGATTCAGGCACATTGGTGTAATACTTTGTATGGTCCTCGAGAATAATCAATAAAGTGGTCGTATGCATCTTCCAGATGCAGAGGCCAGGGGTCATCCTCCTTTTCTAAAAAAAAAAATGTGTAGCAGATAATTGAAACGATGAAAACTGCACCCCACAGTCCACAGGTTTGTATGTGCTTAGGCCAACTCTAGTAAAATTGGTGACCTGTAGAGACTAGGAGAGAGATGTTGCTCGGACTGAAAGATTGAAGGTGTCTCACTGATGCATCAGCACGACGAGAATTGATTAGCATCAACATCACCGCATGGCACACGTGGTGCAATCTCCATCAACATTAGGTGCCATCTTGTTTCCATGTACCTGGATTCAGTATCTATTCTTCTTCAAGTTACCTTGGTCTTGGTGAGTGAGCGACCTAACTGGTCTGATGAGATGAACTGGTCAAGCATCATCTAGATTGGTGGGAAACACGCATAACGCTAAGCAGCTCTGATCCAAGATTCAAGATCACAAAGATCAAACTCCGGAATGTTGACATCTCATTCTCCTCTCCTCTGCTCTGCTATGAAAGCAGGCATGCAGATCCCGGTGGGGCCTGCGCGCGGATGCCGATGTCGCTCGGATCGGGTGCAATCATGGTTCAGGCTTGAGAGGCTCATGCAGCCATGCTAGCTAGATCTAACAGTGTGCTGTGCTGTGCTCAATGCAGCAGTAGCATGGTCGGCCTTCACCTCCTGTGCCGAAATGATTAAGTCGAGTCTGGTGGCAAGAGAAAGGAAGAAAAATGCCTCACAAGCTTTAGACTGAGTGAGTGATTCCTGTGGGCGGTGGTGGCCCCCACCGTCACCGTGAGCAAATCTGGGCAGAGCTCCCGGCTTTAAAACGGCGTGATCATAGCAGCCTCTGCCACTGCAAGCAAAGCCACCGCCCACCGGCCGGAGGGAAGGGAGAAAAGAGAAAGCTAGCTGCCTTTGTCTTTGGGCCATGGCGGAGTTCAAGCACCTTTGCATGGCCAAGTTCAAGGAAGGCGTCGTGGTGGAGGACATCATCCAGGAGCTCACCAAGCTCGCCGCGGAGCTCGACACCGTCAAATACTTTGGGTGGTACGCGTAAATACTTTAATGTAGTATGTATCTAGAATCTAATGCTACATTTCTTCTGAAGAACTTTGTGCTATAAACCAGTGAGCAAAAGTTCTTTCTGGAGGCCAGCATACAGTAAAAGATCAAGATTGCGTGCATCATACTTCATTCATCGATATAGTGATTTCTTCAACTTGGTTTTAGTAGCACTTGACACCATGCATATTGCAGGGGCAAGGACGTGCTGAACCAGGAGGCGCTCACGCAGGGCTTCACCCACGTCTTCGTCATGACCTTCGCCAGCGCCGAGGACCTGGCGGCGTGCATGGGCCACGAGAAGCACACTGCCTTCGCAGCCACCTTCATGGCGGCGCTCGACAAGGTCGTCGTCATGGACTTCCCCTTAGTCTTCGTTAAGCCGGCGCCGCCGCTTGCCTGACCCGCCTCCACTATCTCTACCAACAACTATCACCAAGCATGGGAGTACCTGAGCCTCCTTTCTCTGCTTGTCCTGCTGCTTCAGTGTTTAGCTTGTGCAGCTGCCTGTAAGACTGTAACGCCGCGTGTTCCCCTGAAAAGTTGTTTGGTGATCCACCCTTGAATAAACTTGTGCGATTTTCGTTTGTTTTTCTTGGCATTTCGGTTTTCATGACGATTGATGGATCTCTACTATACTGGTAGCACAGTGGTGAACACTGGGCAGTGGGATGCGCGTGAGTACATTCATGTGAAGCCATTTACATTGGCAGTTAACTTGCTGTCCTTGAGAAGCGGTGCTATCTTTCTCGGTTTTCCTTTTGGGGGATGCTGGGGAGCTATCTTTCTACTTAGCCTTCAGAGGAGGCAACTGCAGAGCTTATCAAGGGCGCACTGAAACTTCCTGACGGTGTTAATAATGCCTAAAAAGTCGCACCAGCAACAGCATTTAGAAACGTAAGGAGTGCTGAATTCTGACGGTCAGTGTATCCGTCTGTGTTAGATATGGATGCCGGCCACGAGTAAACGGGTGATATGTCATACAAGGAGGAACCCTTGGAAATATACGCAACCGGTGGTAAGATAGAGATAATGATCCTCCAACAAATTGAGACTCAAGACTTAGAGGTGACGAGGAGAAACCCGGGCAAACGAGGTCGTTACTTTCAGCTTCCCGCAAGTCACCCGTCAGCATCATATCATACCTGCAGATATCATCCACGTAGAGGCAGAGCGGAGGCTTGACAAGACTTGCAAGCGTAAACCTTGCGGTGGCTCTCCCCATCTATCTACTTTGTTAGACGTACAGCAATGGAGAAATGGAGCGATAGCCCCGCCACTTTAACGCATACGTCCAGGTCACAAATGGTTGAGAAGAGCATACTACTATCACGCAGCTATACAAGGTGTCCAATGTTACCCAAAAGCAAAGCAACGAAATCTACTCCGCAGCAACAACGAAAGGAAAATCTCTTGAGGGACTCGTGCAACATGGCAACAGAATGCTGCAGTTGTGGCAAGCGTACGAGGACGGCACGTAAGGCGTGGCAGCGTATGCGTGTCAGCGTGATTGCTTGGCGAGCAGAGTGAAGTGTGGTGTAGAGCCGATGATGGCGACGAGCACCTCACACGCGGGGTGCTGTGTGCCTTGTGCTCGCAACTTCGCACCGAATGGGAAAAGGGGCAACAAACATTCAAGACACAACAAACATCAGCAACCAAAGAATGCATGACACAGATAATTCTCTCGTGAGAAGAAGAAAGAAAAGCAAGCGAGGATCTCACGAGTGTGTGTGTGTGAGTGAGGGGAGGGAAACAGTCACTACTACCTCCTATCCTGGGGCAGCAGCTGGGACCAATGTGAAATCAACACACTCCACTCTAGATTATACTACTACTGTACTATGTCCAAGACCATGTGCAATTGTCCAGCACCAGCTATACAGTAGAGTCACAGACCAAAAGGAAATTCCCATGACAAATTACTAATGTGGACAACTATATATGGGTCCAATGTGCCGTACAAATTACTCTACATGACAAGAGAGTGAGAACACCATCACGCAAGACATGTTGATAGACCCTGTGAGAGCACCAAATAAGAAAAAGGGACTAATTATTTCTGAATAAAATCTACAATCGAACCCCTCATTTTTCCACCAAAGTTCATGCGGACAACCCGACAGGCTAGGACTAAAAAACGTCACCCAATCGGAACCCCAAGCTCAGCCCAAACGCTAGGCCGACACCCCTCATATTCAGCTTATATGTGGGGCGAATACGGGACACCCGGACACAACATCTGCTGACCATCAGTCCAACAGGTTCCTCCATCGATGGTCACTCCGGCTTGTCGTCTCAAGAACCAAATCCGGCTATTTAAGACGAACGACAAGGGTAAACCTATCCGCCCCTCTCCCGTCCGCGCCACCGCTTCCCTCGTCCGCTTCCACTCTAGCTCCACCCTCGCAGTAGTTGGAGGCGAAGCAAGCTACCGCATTCAGGCGCTCATCGCCAATCCCATCCTCGTGGCTGAAAACCAAGCCATGTTGGAGTCGCTCCTGTCCGAGCGGGTGTTGGTGGCGAACCGCCGCCGTATCCACCTCGCCGACGTGAGGCATGAGCGGCTATTCATGAACGAGGACGATGAGGAGGCCCCAGAGCTTCGCCCTGCAGCCAATGATCACGAGGCCAGCGGCTTCGGCAAGGGTGTCATCTACAACTCCGACGACGACAAAGTAGAAGTAGGGAACTTTTCTTTCAAATGTAGCTCGTTTTATCTATGCATGATGAATTCAACGTTGCATTGCATGGATGAGTATGGAAATAGGGGTTTGCAAACGAGGGGTGTGGTTGTAGTGGCGGACAAATGAGAATAGGGGTTTGCAAACGAGGGGTGTGGTTGTAGTGGCGGACAAATGAGAGGCCATCAGACACGTCCGCGGACATACAGTGCAGTGCGGGTAGTCAAATTTGTTGTAGATGCTCTGATGGATCTCAGATTGTGGGAACACGCCCCCCGGAAAAAAAAAGATTGTGGGAACCCCAGAGCTGAATTGCAGAATTTATGCAGACAGACACAAATCACCCGTATAAAACAGCGCCAGAATCACGACTGCTGTTGCTGCTGGTACTTTCGTTCGTATCTAGACAAATGTAAGACCACAAATGTAAGACCAGAATTGTAGGACGGAGGGAACATATTGCAAGGCAACCAATGATGAGTATTGAGCTACGAGCACCCTCCTTGATCACACAGAAGAGAAGAGCAGAATCAAGATTCTGAAATGTTGTATAATTATTTGTCAACTGTACGAGCACACACCACTAAAAATGGTTGGGATAAAAAGAGGGAAAACAAACAGAGGGGATGAATCCTGCACTGCACACTCGCAGTAAATCTCTCTCTCTCTCTCGCTCTCTCTCTCTCTCTCTCTGAGTATACCACCTAAAATGATCCATGAATTATGTTTCACTTTCATCCCAAGCTTGCTTATTGTCCCTCTAAAAACATGCTATATATGTCTAGAGCTGTAAATTAACACCAACCAAACACAGCATTCGTCTTGGTTTTGCTAAATTCGATCAACTACCTTTTCCCAAATGGGCAGGTAGAGGTAGCGCAGCCATAGCCAGAGTGAGGAGCAAGCGGAAGCGGAACCTCGTCATGGAGATCATGGCGGGGCCTTGAAGGCCTGCACGACGAGCGAGAACCCCGGCGCCGCCCCCTCCTCCTCCAGCCACAGCCGGCTCTCCAGCGCGCTCCTCGCCCGGAGCATCACCACCGCGCAGCCCGGCGGGTCCCGGAACCACCACCCGTGGAGGTCCCACATGACGTCCACCGGCGCGCCGTCCACGAACACCGTCTGGTTGCCCCTGAAGTTCCACCGCAGCCGCTGCGCCTGCACCGCCCGCTTCCCGTCGACGCTGACCCACAGCTCCTCCCCTCCCCCGGAGCTGGTGGCGCACCCGACGCTCACCTCGTGCTCCGGCCCGCCCTCCGCGAACCGCACCCTCGCGGTGTGCATTGCCGCCGGGTCGGCGACCACGACGCGCTCCCTGCGCGACACCGGCAGGCACCGCGCCTTGGAGATCTGGCCCTCGAACTTGGTCTTGACGAACTCCGCGGCCAGGTCGCCCACCGCGAGCACGACCTCTGCGCCGGCCACGGCGACGACGAAGTAGCCGTAGAGCGGCTCCGGCGACGCCCCGGGGTCGTACCGCGCCGCCGTGAGGTCCCAGAAGAGGGCGAGCATGGGGGCCTCCGCATCATCCGCATCGCCGCCGCCGCCGTCCGCCAGAGTGAAGGAGCGGGTGCCCCTGCGCCTGCGAAGGAGAACGGAAGGCGCAGCGGCGGATGGAGCAAACGACAGTGTGGGGCCCACCGGGGAGTGGGCCCAGGTGAGGCGAAACAGCAGCGGCGCAGAGGAGGCGCCAGAGTTGAGGGGCGTGGCGCGGTAGGACGCCGTGACGGCGAGGGTGGAGGCGGCGCCGGAGCCGGAGCCGCCGGAGGTGAGGGTGGAGGAGGGGCTGGCGCAGGCGACGCGGACGGCGCCGTCGCCGATGCAGGAGGCGAAGTCGCGCATGGAGGACGGCAGCAGCAGGCTGGACGCGCTCACCATCTCCTCCTCCTCCTCCTCCTCGGGGAAGGAGATCTGCGCTGCGGCGTGCGGGTGCCGCGCCAGGAAGCGAGGGAGGAGTAGGAGGAGGCGGGGAGGGGGAGGGGGAGGGAGTTATGAGTGAGAAGGTGGTGGGGGTGGGGCTAACACAACGGGGACGGGGAGATCGGGCTCCAACTCAACTCATAATGGCAACCCGGCGGCGAGGGTGGCACGCGCAGCAGCGAACCGGTAACTGCCGGAGCGGAGGTGGCGACGAGCCGGAGGAGGAGGAACCTTCCGCTTTAAGTCTGCCCGCCTGCCGTCCGATCGGGAACGGGAGGACACGAGCCGTCCGATCCTACCAGTATTTGTCTGGGCCTGTATGTATATTTATTAGAGGTTTATTATTATTATTATTATTATTATTATTATTATTATTATCATTATGCCAAGATTTGTAGAAAATGTGTGAAAGTTCATTCCACTTAAACAAAAACGTATGCCGTTTGAACGACAAGTAATATGAATAAGGGGGAGTAACATTCATGTGTTTCAAAACACAATTGATGGTTGTAATTTCTTTAGATAAAAAATAGACATATGCATTTGTTCCGTCTCTTGGAACAAAAATCTTTATTATTATTATTTTTAGAAAAGGAGGATGTACCTTCGGCCTCTGCATTTGGACGATGCATGCAGCCATCTTTATTATCTATATTATACTACTTAAAAAATATAAGGGTATCTTCAACACGGACCCGTAAAATTGCTCCGGCATCTGTCCGCGGACAGGGGGTGGGGGAGTCTGCGCACACTGATGCTGAAGGCCGCCATCTAACGCTGTCCGCATACATTTCAACAA